GATCTTTCGGTTCACAGGCCAGCACTCAATGCACTGAGCCACACCAGCCAGAGCTAAAGTAATTATTGGTAAGTATGTAGTTATTGCCATTGTACTGATTGTTTTCTGATTGTTTTAGTTCTCTGCCTCTCTCGTATGTTGATGACTTTCTGTAATGTTGTGTTTGGATTCCTTTCTCTTTGTTTCTTGTCTATGTCTTGTAGATTTTGGTTTGTGGTTATGATAGGCTTCATATGTACTAAGTTATGTTTATAGCACTGTTTTGAGTTGGTTGCTTAAGTTTGAAAGGTACTGAAATCACTACTGTTTTTAGTCACCCCCTCCATATTTATTTTTGTTATTTTTTACTTCTTTTATGTGAATGTGTGTGTATATATCTTTTAATTTATTACTGTAATTACACATGATCTTCCTACTCACACCTTTTAACTTTTGTACCTGGTTTAGTGTTGGTTGATCCACTGCTTTTACTGTGTTTGCTTTTGTCAGTGAAATTTTTTCTTTATGATATTTTCTTATTCATGTTTTTTTCTTCTTGTTCCACCTCCTCCCTCCCCCTCACCCTTCTTTTTTCTTCTTTTTGTCCCTTTAACATTTCTTGTAATACTGGTTTGGTGATGCTGAACTCCTTCAGCTTTTTCTTGTCTGAGATCAATGCCCACATTTGAAGAGTGGAGAGCTTTGCTCCCTTCCTTAAGGATGGATAATTATTTAGAAGAATTCTGCATGTGAGATTTGTCTCTTTCTCCCACGTATTTATTCAGTCATTTAATATTTATATCAGTATGGACCTTGGATTATAATACAATAATGTTTTACTTATTATATTGCTCAAAAGTTCCCACTTCGGACATTGGGAGCTCTTTTCGTTGGCCCCGTGTCCCTTTGGCATACCCCATCAGTGTGTGTGTTTCGGACACTTCTCCAAGGAAACTTTGTTCCTTTCATTGGGGGATGATACAGGAAACCAAAACTGGCATTTACTGCTATTGGGATATTGTTTTGAGTCATATACTCCTCTTTTGCTCCTTGTCCCACACACATATCAGTTGTCATAATATTCTTCTAATCTCACTGCCATTATCCTATCCCATCTTCAATACTTATTAGCTATATGGCCTTGGGAATCTAAGTGTTCGGTTTCTTAGCAGTGAAATAGGAATAACTCCTAAAGATAGGATTAAAAAATATTTTATTGTATTTTTTCCATTACATTATAGGATTATTATTATTATTATTATTAAAGATTTTATTTATTTATCTTTATAGGGGAAGGGAAGGAGAGAGGGAGAGAAATATCAGTGTATGGTTGCCTGTCATGCGTCCCCTGCTGGGAACTGGCCTGCAACCCAGGCATGTGCCCTGACTGGGAATTGAACCTCGGTTGTTTGGTTTGCAGGCCCGCGCTCAATCCACTGAGCTGCACCAGCCAGGGCAGGATTATTTTTGTTACTGTTTATGCAATTGCAGTTCTCACTTTTTCTCTTTTTCCTGTCTCCACCCAGCTTAAACATAGGATTACTGTGATAATTAAAATTTAAATGAAATAATGTACATGCCTGGCACATAGAAAGTACCCAACATATGGTTCTGTAATTATTACTGTTATCTAAGGATTATTATTTGGGTTAGAAGAAATTACGTATGTAATTTCACATACGTAATTGTGAATATCCAAGACCAAATGTGGTTTACAGTGTTTCCCAAATGTATTTGACCCCAGAACTTTATTTTTATTTTACTGTTTACTTTGTGGCACATCTCACAGGACTAGTAAGTGTTCTGAGAGTTATGTATTGGGAAATAGTCATTTGCTATGATCCCAATGATGTTAAATATAGACAAGCTATATGTGTGCAAAAAAGAAAAACTAAAAGAAAATGTAACTGTAGTCATCTTTGGGTTCTGGAATTACTAAGCATGTGAGTGACTTATATTTTACACTACTTTTGAAAATATTTTGAAAATATGTAATTTCATATACGTAATTGCACATACGTAACTTCACATACATAATTGTGTCCAAACACAGTACTTGGGTCATTCTAAGTACCAGACAAAATAATACTTTCCTTTACCCTAAAAATATTGCTGTGATCACCTAAATTCGTTCACCCAGAGTTCACTGTTAAATTTGTCATGTATCCTTCTGATCTTTTTTCCCGTGCATTTTAAAAACACTTTTGAATCAGATGGTAGACACATTTTTATATCTTGCCTTTTTATTTAACCTTATGACTAATATTTTTCTTGCTATTAGAAACTCTTTGTAAACAACTTTTATAATACCGGCAGAATGTTTTATTGTTTGGACACATATCCTGTCTTACCTTTCTTTTGTCATTAGACTTTAGATTATTTCCAGAATTTTTATTATAAGAACTCTATCAATATTTTTGTGTATAAATTTTTGCCTGCATTTAGGGTTATTTTCTTAAGATAGATGTCCCAGAAGTAGAATTACTGGGTTGGGGGGTACAAACATTTATTTTATTTTATTTTTTAAAAGATTTTATTTATTTATTTTTAGAGAGAAGGGAAGGGAAGGAGAAAAAGAGGGAGAGAAACATCAGTGTGTGGTTGCCTTTAACGCACACACAGCTGGGGACCTGTCCTGTAACCCAGGCATGTACCCTGACTGGGAATTGAACCGGTGACGCTTCAGTTCACAGGCTGGCACACCCAATCCACTGAGCCACACCAGCCAGGACCAAACATTTATTTTCTTACTAGTTATAAAATTAAATCTCATTGATTGTAGGAAACTTGGAAAATATTTTCAAAAGTAGTGTAAAATATAAGTCACTCACATGCTCAGTAATTCCAGAACCCAAAGATGACTACATGTACATTTTCTTTTAGTTTTTCTTTTTTGCACACATATAGCTTGTCTATATTTAACATCATTGGGATCATAGCAAATGACTATTTCCCAATATATAACTCTCAGAACACTTACTAGTCCTGTGAGATGTGCCACAAAGTAAACAGTAAAATAAAAATAAAGTTCTGGGGTCAAATACGTTTGGGAAACACTGTAAACCACATTTGGTCTTGGATATTCACATGAATAAGAACATACTAACTCACTTAAGTCTTGCTGATAAAAACAAAGTCTTTTTTGTGTGTGTTTAACCCAGAATCTCCCAAACTTATTTAACAATTTTTTAGGTAGCCCTTGTTACTGTCTTATGGAAGTAGTGTTTATTATAACAAAACCTTTGTGAAATGCTGGAAAATGATAGGACTATCTTATATTCTCTTGCTGTGTTAGCCAAATTGCTTTCTAAAGGTTGGTTGATTTGTTTGTTTTAAATCACCAACAGTATATGAATATATAGGCTTCACCACTTCTTTGACTGCATTGGTATTTATTCTTTTCTTTAAAAACTCTTTCATAGCCCTGGCTGGTGTGGCTCAGTGGATTGAGCGCCCACCTGCGAACCAAAGGATGGCCAGTTTGATTCCCAGTCAAGGGCACATGCAAATAAAAATCTTAAAGAAAAAAAGAGAACTGAGTTCAAACTGCAGGTACACACTTCCTTTGTGATCTTGGACATGTTAGCCTCTTGAAGACTGTTTCCTCAGCTGTAGATGATAAAATGTACCCATTGTGTACATTCAATAAGGTAATTGGATGTACACAATCGAATGTAGGTAAAGTTCTTGTAGCTATTTATTAAAGTAGCTACTTATTAATAAATGCTCTTTCCTAATTGTTCTTAACATACTGTATGTTTGCCATTGCTATGGTTTTGCTTGTTGTTATTCCCTAGAATTCCCTTTCCCTTTTCTCTGCCTGCAGAAATGAGGCACTGATTTGTTGTTATTACTACTACCCTAGTCTTTAGGATCAAGATTTTTATGATTTTTTAAAAAATATATCCCTAGCTGGTATGGCTCAGTGGATTGAGTGCCAGCCTGTGAACCAAAGGGTCGCTGATTCCATTCCCAGTTGGGCACATGCCCGGGTTGCAGGCCAGGTCCCCAGTAGGGGGCACGTGAGAGGCAACCACACACTGATGTTTCTATCCCTCTCTTTCTCCCTCCCTTCCCCTCTTTAAAAGTAAAATAAATAAAATCTTATACATGTATACTTTTTTTTAATTTTAATTTTTTTGGATTTTGTTTATTTTTTTAGAGAGAAGGGAGGGAGGGAGCAACAGAGGGAGAGAAACATTGATCGGTTGCCTCTCACACATCCCCAACTAGAGACCCAACCTGTAACCCTGGCATGTGCCCCAACTGGGAATCAAACCTGTGACCTTTTGGTTTGCAGGCTGGCACTCAATCCACTGAGCCACACCAGCTAAGACAGATTTTTATAATTTTATATCACTTTCCCCCATTAAACAGGGTGTGATCATTTGTTCTCTTGAAATCTCTTATCAGTATGTATCATTGTCTCTTAGGATACTTAAGATATTTATATTTTTATCTTACTTGTTTGCCTCACTTATCTACCCCCCTGACTTAAACTGTAAATTTCTTGAAAGTGGGACCATTTTACTGGCTCCCTGTAGTGTTTTTCTTCAGGGGGCTTTCAGCAATTTGAGTTTAATTAATTTTAGTCGAGCTTCTCTACTTTTCTGAGGCAATAATCTTGGAAATATCTAGAGATTTCCAAATTGACAAAGTCTTCTCCTTAATCTCTCTGCAGTACTTACAACTATTAATCAACTGCCTTTACTTAAAACTTGGTCTCCATGGCATAGCATAGTACTTGTTTCCTAGAGTCATTTTCTTTTGTTGCAGGAAAACGATCATGACAATTTTTCCTGGTCATTCCTCCAAATTGGATCTTTTTATATTTCTCTGTGTTAGACATTACATCTGGGTCTCACCGTTGTTGGCCCTGCGATCATCCTAAGATCCGTGACCCAGATCTCCTTTCTTGCTTGAAGCAGCTTGAAGCAGATCCCTGAGAACCTTTTTTTTTTTTTTTTTTAAGATTTTATTTCTTTTTACAGAGGGAAAGGGAGAGAAACATCGATGTGGTTGCCCCTGCACGCCCCCCAGTAGGGACCTGGCCCCCAACCCAGGCATGTACCCTGACTGGGAATCAAACCTGCGACCCCTGGGTTCCCAGGCCAGCGCTCAATCCACTGAGCCACACCAGCCAGGGCGGATTCAGCAAACCTTTAACAGTCCCTTCCACCTAACCCTTTGGTGTTCTCCCCAGGCCTTGTTGTGTTGTCTCTTCACCATCTTGCTGTCCCTGAACACAGAGCCCTTTTAGTTTTAGGAAGCAGATTGAGGATTAAAAACAGCAGATATGGGGAAATAACAATGCTTATAAAATTGTTATACTAACAGTCTTCTAATCTGTAGTTTCTGGAAAATCTTGATAATCTGCCCTTGGATTTTATTTTTAGGGGTAAGAATCGCCAAACCTCTTCCTTCTCTTTGACTCTACCTTTGGATACCATCAAGGCCAGAGAGTGGAATCCGGATAATATAAGTGTTATTTTGTGACAGTAGGTTATTTGTATCTCTGAGGGCTTTCAGTTAGGGTGACCATTCAAAAAGCTTCTGCCTTTTTGAAAAAAGATATTTATTTATTTTAGAGAGGTGGGAAGGGAGGGAGAAAGAGGGAGAGAAACATCAATATGTGAAAAATATATGTATTGGTTTTGCCTCTCACTCACCCCCAACTGGGGACCTTGCCTGCCACCCATGCATATGCCTCGACCAGGAATCAAACCTGTGATATTTTGACTTGCAGGCTGGTGCTCAATCCACTGAGCCACACCAGCCAGGGCTGTCCTTTTCTTTCCTCACATTCCATCTTTACTAGCCTAAGGGCTTCAACTGTAATCTCTGGGCAATTTGCTTAAATATATGTTTCTTATCAGTGTCCTTATTTCCTTAATTTTATGTATATACTGCCTGTCTAGAATAGAATCAGTTATTTTCATAAAATTTTCTTCTCAGGACTTTTTTTGTATAAGTAGTTTTTAGTCTCCAAGTTTTCCACATTCAAAAGTGATACTGTAATTGGTTTGTGTTCTTACTACCTTTCTTTCTCACTAGAATGTGTGCTGCTAGGAAGCTAGACCCTTGCCTGCTTTATTCATTGTTGTATCTCTAGGTCCTGTTACAGTGTAAGTGCTCAATAAACATTTAAAATCCATGTGTGAATAAATGTTATTACCACATGCCCTACCTCCCACAGGTATGTTGTGAAAAAATAAGGATACATGTGAAAATCAGCAAATTAAATCCACAGTAGCACCATCTCAATTACTTCCTTTCTCATTCAAATCTTGGCCGTCTTCAGGTCTTGTTGACTTGTTCCTCATGATGAACTTACCTTCATTTTCCTTTCAGCACCCATACAGAGCATCTAAATCAAGTCTTCTTGCATTGTGGCTACTACTACTGCTTTTTTTTCTACCTTTAGTTTATGTTACATATTTTCAGGTTAATCTTAAAGCATGGCTTTGAGATGATCTGTACTCCTCATTAGCTTTCAGTGTTCTCCCACAATTCGAAGCTCAAGTCCAAAGTCAAGAGGAGACTGGATGCCTTTCACTTCTAATTTACCTCGAGTCTCTTTTCCCATTACATATGCTTTTTGCCCAAAATATCCCGGATTCTTACTGTTCCCTAAATTGATACATAAATTTATTTGTTCATTAATTGGAATTGATTACAGTCTTTTGTGGGCCAAACTCTTTGCTTCAGAGATCAAACACAAAGTTTCTGCTCTCAAGCAAACAATTATGTTAAACATTTAGAGAATGATAAAGGCCAAAACAGAGGCTCTGGTGTACAAAGGGCAGCTTTTAACCTGTCTTGGGGCGGGTACATCAGGGAAGACTTCACTGTGTAGTTTATACTGGAACTTGACCTTTAAAGACCAATAGGAATGAACTAATATATGATTCAAGGAAAGTCTGTTCCAGGCCAAAGCAAAAGCAAAAAGGCATAAAAAATAGAGACACCTCCAGGTGGGATTTGTGAATATTTCAGTGGCTGGAGCAGATAATATGAGTAACTGTGTGCTATGAGGCTAGAGACTGGGTCAAGAAGTCCTTTTGTGTGTGGTTCCATTTTCCGTGTACATATTCTGAGGATGATAGGAATCCAGGAACAATTTTGAGTAGGAGCGTGGCTAGTCCAATTTGTCCCTTTGCTTATGTTGTACCAAATGCCTGAAGTACTTCCCTTTCTCCTTTCCTTATAGCCAAGCCCCAAGCCTCCTGCCTAAATCCTGCTCACCTTCCAAAGATCACCACAGATGCTGTGTCCTCCTTAAAGTCCTTATAACTCACCTGGTCAAAAGTAATTTCACTGTCCTTTGTGTACCCATTCTCCAAGGTGTTTAGGTTTAAAACCTGAAATAAGATATTTTGAAAACCTATAATATAACATCAATAACGGGAATTTTAAAAAAAGAAAAAATGTAATTTAATTACCCTAACATAAGTTTTCATATTGTACATTTTTTCCTAAACTTATAAATGTCTTGTTAAAATAAATAAATAAAATAAACTTACAAGTATGCATGACAATTAAAACCATGGTGTATATATATAATTATATTTTATATCACATTAAATTTTTTATCATTTTTAATGGGTGTATTATAAATCATTCCTGTATGACTGGATATGAAGTTTGTTTTCATTTTTAGCTATTTATAGATAATGCCATTTTTATATGATTCTCTCCTACTTTTTGTTTTTGTTTTTTCTGTTGAAACTATTTCTTTATGCTAAATTCTCAAGATTGTGATAACTAAAAGTCTTTTGCATTATCTTTGACTTTAACCTACTAACCTTTATCCTTCCCCCAATAACTGAATTACCAAGTATTGTTGATTCTTTGATAACATACCTGGGATCAATCTCTTCCTTCCATTCTCACTATTCTTGCCAATTCTGTCCCTCATGCCAGGATTATTGCAATCTTTTTTTCCTAACTGATTTCCCTAGTCTCTAAAGTGTTTTCTCTCTTTTTTAATCTTCACCTGAGGGTATGTTTATTGATTTTTAGATAGAGAGGAAAGGAGAAAGAGAGAAACATCGGTATGAGGGAGGGGATCAAACCTGCAACCTAGGTATATGCCCTGACCAGGAATTGAACCCACAACCTTTTGTTGTATGAGATGATGCTCCGACCAACTGAGTCACTTGGCCAGGGCTCCAGTGTGTTCCTGTTCCAATTCACTGTTTCATCATGCCAGATTAATTGTCATAAAGCACTGCTTTGGGAAAAAAAAATTGAATCATTTGACACATACTTAGTGAATGCATACTGTGTGGCCAGATACTAAATCCCTTAATTGGCACTTTCAGAAACAAACATTCTCCCCTCGATTACTCAGCACCGCCCTCTGACCCAGCCAAACTGGTTTATTCAACATCTGCTGAACATTCTATCTGCATTCCTGTGTCTGAAATTTTGTTTAGAATGAGCTTCTGTTTAGAATCCATTCTTCTTTCCCTTTTCTCAATTTTTGATTCTTTCTTCAAAGCCCCACCCAGTCTCAGTCCGCCCTCCCTGAAGCCTCTCAGTCTTTTTCATTCCTCAGCTTCTACCTTTGACTAAACTGTCACAGATAAACAATATCTTCATTCTCATACATTCACAAGATAAAACTCTGAATTCCTTCACCTTGTTTTTAAGGCTTTCTAAGATCTGGCCCCACTTTTTATTTCCGACCTGTCTTCCTATTGGTTCCTAACGTGAACTGCCTGATGCCTCCGGACTCCTCTACTTTCCGTTCTGTAAATACTCCCTGCCATTCGCACACCCATGCCTTTCTTTGCTCATGTTGCTCTCTCTCCCATCCCCTCTAGCTGTCAAATCTTATCTATTTTCTTTAATACATTTTTTAGGTTTTAATTTATTAGTGATATTTATATTTTTAGCATGAAAACCAAATCATGTAACAGTGTATAATACATATGTGGGGCCCATATACTTAAAAAAAAACAGACCCCTGGCTGGTGTGCTCAGTGAATTGAGCACTGGCCTGCAAACTGAAAGGTTGCCTGTTCAGTTCTGATCGGGACAAGTGCCTGGGTTGTGGGCCAGGTCCCCAGTTGGGGGGTGTGCAGCTGACCAATGTATCTCTCACACATCAGTGTTTCTCTCCCTCTCCTTCTGCCACCCTCCCCTCTCTCTAAAAAAAATAAATAGAATCTTAAAAAAGTAATACAAGATACATACATATATGTGGGCAAATGTAGGTTTACAGTTATTCATATGGAACAAGACATGCAGGTTATGATTATTACAATAGCTTTATTAACTCTGTATTTCGAGTACTCCCAACTGTAAGCCGACTTTTGCCATGCACTGGTATGTGTGTGTGTGTATATATTTGTTGTTAATGATTTCTGCCACCTCTTCTAGCTTATGTCTCTTAAGGTAACTAGCATTAAACATTTGGTATCTTGGTATATACCCTTCCACACCTGTCTCTTTCCCCTAACACAAACTGGGCTTTTAAATGCTGTACCTTGACCCAACAAGAATGGGGGCATAGCCCTGGCTGGTGTGGCTCAGTGACTGAGTGCTGGCCCTCGAATCAAGGGGTCACTTGTTGGATTCCCAGTCTAGGGCACACGCCTGGGTTGTGTGCCAGGACCCGGTAGTGGGAATGCAAGAGGCAACCACACGTTTCTCTCCCTCCTTTCACCTCTGTCTAAAAATAAATAAAATCTTTAAAAAAAGAAAAGAAAAGAATGGGAGCATAGCCCTGGCTGGGTTGCTTAGTTGGTTTGAGCGAAAGCCCATACACCAAAAGCTTGCGGGTTTGATTCCCCACCCAGAGCACATAGTGGGTTGCAGGTTTGTCCCTGGTTGGGGCGTGTGCGGGAGGCAGCTAATAAGTGCTCTTCTCTTACATTGATGTTCCTCTGCCCCACCCTGCAAAGGCAATAAAACTGTCCTCTGGTAAGGAGTTTTTTAAAAAAAATGGGAACATACTCTGCACTAGGGTTCTCAAAATGTCCAGGACACTTGGGGGGTTTCCTAAGACCCTTTCTGGAGGTCTGCAAGTGTAACTATTTTCATTATATGCTAAGATATTATCTACCTATTTGCTGGGTTGACATTTTCACTGATATGCAAAAGCAGAGGTGGGTAAACTGCGGACCCTTAGCACTAACGAAGGTAGTGGCACCAGCTACCCATCAGTGCATTTTTCACTGCCACATGCTCACAGTAAGTGTCAACTTTTCACCTAATATCCTTGGCAATGCAATAAATGTTATTTTGGTTAAACCCTGGCCCTTGAATACACATTTTTGTTTATTATTTTTTCGTAGTTTTATTGAGATACAGTTGACACACAACGTGTAAGTTTAAGGTATACAATGTGGTAATTTGATATTTGCGTATATTGTGGAACGCTTACCACAATAAGTTAGTTAACAACATCCTTCATAGGGTTACTGCTTTGTTACAATAAGAACATTAAAGCTGCACTCTCGCAGCAGATTTCATATATACAACACAGTTTTGTTAACTGTAGCCACCGTGCTATACCTTAGATCCCTGGAACTTACTCACCTTGCTTGTTTTTTTTTATTTCCTTCATCTTATAACTGAAAGTTATACGTCTTTCTGATGTTCTCTGTGGACTAACTGGGAAGTAAACATGAAACCCTCTGCTGCACACTGAAGACTGTGTCTCAAGGAAAAGTGCTGGTGCAACTGTCCTAGTCGAAAGCTAAATCAGCTTTGCGCAGTGGCCATATCGTAGCCAATGAGGTTTATCCGAGGAGCAATTATTGCTAATTGAAAAGCTTCCTTTTCATAGAACAACTTTTTTTTAAATCCTCACCTGAGGATATGTTCATTTATTTAAGAGAAAGAGACGAAGGGAGAGAGAAAGAGAAACATCAGTTAGTTGCCTCTGAAACCACTTTGACCAGAGATCGAACCTGCAGCCTGTTGGTGTACACAAAGATGCTCCAACCAGCGGAGCCACCCAGCCAGGGCCACTGTTATTTTTTTTTAGGATTAGTTTATTTATTTTTAGAGAGGGGGGTTGAAGGGAGGGGGAGAGAGGGAGGGAAACAACAATGGGTCACCTCTGGCACCCAGGCCTACAACCCAGACATGTGCTCTGACTGGAAACTGGACTGGTGACCCTTCACTGTGCACCATGACACCCAACCAGTGGAGCCATACCGGTCAGGGCCGCCATTTTTAACTTGAAAGAACCACTGACAAACGGGTAATTCAGACCTCGGTATCTAATAAGCATTTTCCTGAAAATGAAGGAAATGATCCTGTTACTTGAAGGAAAACAACTGACAATATCGTTGCCAATGATAACGTTCAGGCCTTCAAGTGAACATTAGAATTTTGGAAAACTTGTATCTGCCACTGTGAGCTTGACAGCTCCCAATAAAGACTTTTCTGTGATATTAACACATGATTCTTTATACTGCATAGTTAAATGTATAATACAAGAGTAAGGGAGAATCCTGAAGTAAAAGATATTGAAGGTTACTATCCATTTTTCTTCAACTTTTCACTTAGTGTATCATGAACATCATTCAGATCAGTGCATTTACATCTAAAATCCTTTTTTCTTTTTTAAAGATTTTATTTTTGAGAGAGGGGAAAGGAGGGAGAAAGAAAGGGAGAGAAACAGCAATGTGTGGTTGCCTCTCATGAGCCCTCTACTGGGGACCTAGCCCACAACCCAGGCATGTGCCCTGACTGGGAATTGAACTGGTGACCCTTTGGTTCACAGGCTGGCACTCAATCCACTGAGCCACACCAGCCAGGGCTAAAATTCTTTTTTTTTTTTTAATTTTTAAAAAATATTTATTTATCTTTAGATGGGAAGGAGAGAGGGAGAGAAACATCAATGTATGGTTGCCTCTAGTGCATCCCCTGCTGGGAACAGGCCTGCAGGGAACTGGCTTGCAACCCAGGCATGTGCCCTGACTGGGAATTGAAATGCGGTCCTCTGGTTCGCAGACCTGCGCTCAATCCACTGAGTTATACCTGCCAGGGCTGTTTTTTTAATTTTATTAATTTATTTTTAAAGAGGGAAAGGGAAGGAGAAAGAGAGGGAGAGAAACAGCGATGCGAAAAAGAAACATTGATTGGTTGCCTCTTGCAAGCCCCCAACTGGGGACCTGACCTGCAACCCAGGCATATGTTGACCAGGAATCAAACTGGCAACCTTTTGCTTTGTGCAACAATGCCCCCAACCCACGGAGCCACACCAGTCGGGGCACATCTAAAATTATTTTTCATAACAGCATGGTGTTCCATCATGTAGATGAGCAACATCTATTCATTCATCTATATATTGATGGCCATTCAAATTGCTTTCATCTTTTTGTTAAATAATGCAGGAACAAACATTATATATGTCCTTGTGCATTGATGCTTTTATATCTATAGTATGGATTCCTAAAAGTTGGCCTGTTTTTCATGATCCATCTTAGTAAAACTTTCCCTTATAACATCTGTGTAGTCAAGTCATTTCCCCTCGGAAATGACTTTTTTTTTTTTTAAGAGGCTTTTTTAGTCTCTTAAATCATTCACTGTATTTTGTTGTTCCCATGCTATGGTCTTGTTTTTTCTTTTTCTTTTTTTCTTTTAACTTTCTCTGTGCCCATCTTGTCTCACCAACTAGATTATTAAAATAGAAACTCGCTGAGGGCAGGGATAGCATGTCACACAGTGTATGGGCACCGGCTAAATAATAATGACCGCAGCAGGACTGAGGGTTGCTATGAGAAAAGGATATTAATGCTTCCTTTTAGTGGCCAGATGGGTGCTGAGGGAAGCCGTGCACATTCATGTATTCTTTCAATGGGAACTATTTGAAAATTAGAGTAATTCTCAACTGAATTCTCTCATTTCAGGCAAGTACATCGCCTCAACACAGCGACCTGACGGGACCTGGCGCAAGCAGCGGAGGGTGAAAGAAGGCTATGTGCCCCAGGAAGAGGTCCCTGTGTGCGTGGTTAGGCATGAGGAAGGGTGTTTAATGGGGTCCTTACAGAAAGAACACGCATGCCTATGAGTTCAGGAAGAATCTCCTGATGCCCCCAACCCCAGGAAATGAAGGAGGGGACAACTGTCATAGAAGAGGAGGGGTTGACTAGTCCTGTTCCTACAGCCTCTGTCCATCAGGACCTCCAGATAGCATTCAGAGGTTTAGAGCTTTGAGACCCAGGGACCCTCCTACAACCTGCAAAAACAGAGGAAAGTTAGGGAGGGACCAAGGGAGAGGAAGCAGAAAGGCAAAAAGTATAAAGAGATTTAGAATGCTAAGAAAAGGGCTCTCCCTGGCTGGTGTGGCTCTGGGTTGGGTGTCCTGCAAAGTAAAGGGTCCCTAGTTCGATTCCTAGTCAGAGCACATGCCTGACTTTCAGGCCAGGTTCCAGGTTGGGGGCCTTCAAGAGGCAACCAATCCATGTTTCTCTCACACATTGATGTTTCTCTCCCTCCCATCCCCTGTCTCTAAAAATAAATAAATAAAATATTTAAAAAAGAAAAGAAAGTGGAAGGTGGGGGATGGGTAAGGCAGGGGAAAGTAATGGGAAAGTGGAGACAACGGTAATTGAACAACAATTTTTTTTTTTTTTTTTTTTTTTAGAAAAAGGGAAAAGGGCTTAAGGTTTTGGCTAGGTAGCTCAGTTGCTTAGAACGTCGTACTGATAGACTAGGTTGCAGTTGGGTCCCTGGTCAGGGCACATACAGGAATCAACCAATGAATGCATCAATAAATGGAACAACAAATCAGTTTTTTCTCTCACTCTCAAATCAATACATTAAAATTTTTAAAGGAAAAGAAAAGGGCTCAAATATGATTGTTTAACTGTTGGCATCTCCTGTTCCCTGCAGATATGAGAACAAGTATGTGAAATTTTTCAAGAGTAAACCAGAATTGCCCCCAGGGTTGAGCCCTGAGGCCACTGCTCCTATCACCCCAAGGCCTGAAGGTGGTGAACCAGGCCTCTCCAAAGCAGCTAAACGCAACCTGAAGAGGAAGGAGAAGAGGCGGCAGCAGCAAGAGAAAGGGGAGGCAGAGGCCTTGAGCAGGACTCTGGATAAATTGTCTCTGGGAGAGACAGCTCAACTCCCTAGTGCTTCACAGGGCTCCCGTGCGGTCCCTACAGCTGCCTCTGACCAGCCTGACTCAGCTGCCACCACTGAGAAGGCCAAGAAGATAAAGAACCTAAAGAAGAAGCTTCGGCAGGTGGAAGAGTTGCAGCAACGGATCCAGGCTGGGGAAATCAGCCAGCCCAGCAAAGAGCAGCTGGAGAAGCTAGCAAGGAGGAGGGCATTGGAAGAGGAGCTAGAAGACTTGGAGCTAGGCCTGTGATGCTTTTGGGGAATAGGGAATGGACTGCAGAACAAACCATGGGGCTCTCTGGGTCCTGGGGAATACGGGCAGCAGTCAGGAGGGGTATCTCCCCATACTGGCTTACCTCCACCTCTTATGGCCCACTTCTGTCCACCAGAGCCTAGCCTCCCTCATTCCTTCCGTTTTCTTCCAAACTCCTATTTTTTGGACTTTTCCCCCTCCTATTCCCAGTGTTCAAAAATCTCAGTGTTCCTTTGCTGCTGATTTGGGTGTCTTGTTCAAAAGAAAATTGGGTGGGTGGGAATCTCGAAGAACTGAGGTTGAGGGTAAGGGGAGTACACTCAAGTCTTGGTTCCGTTTCACAGTGTTTATGAGTTATTTCCCCTCCATCCCTGACCTCTTTTTTTTTTTTTTTTTTTAAGAACAGAATAAACAAGTAGACAAATTGTTGAGCTTTGCCTCTTTCGTTTTAGCTTCTAGCAGGTGTTTTATCTCCTTTAATTTGGCACAGGAAGAGAGGTTTTGGAAGTAATAATTCCTTTTAATTTTTAACAGTTATATGAGTGTACGACCAAATTAGCAACACTGATTTCTGTATGTTTGTTCAGATTTAAGTGAAAAGAAATTAGTGTTACAATAAAATGAAACTTAGAACAAATTTCATTTGACATGTTAATTTGCATGTGTCACCACTGTTGCATAGGAATGGGGTCTTTGCAATGCCCCTGCTGTTTCTTTCTAAGATAATCAATCTTCACAGCTTCACTGGGGCAGCTCATCTGAAATTTTACCTTATCAGATGCCACACCAAGTGGCATTGTGGGGCAGACTATTGATACAGGGAAAAGAATTTACAGCTAATAAGAGCTGTCACTTAATTTTTGCATTTCCTCTGATTTCCAGACCCTCACCTGTCACAATCTTCTTTTCTAGTCAGCTGCTGGTGCAGAAAGCAACAGAGGGGGAAGTCAACTGTAATAACCTATTTCAGGAATTCGAAGTTTTTAGCCTGACTGGAAAGTTCCCACTCAATCTGGCCTCATTTCTTGCCATTCCTCAACTAGTCAGCTCTCTTATCCTTTGGATCTCAGCTTTAATGTTGCCTTCAAACACAAATTTAGGTGCCTCTCTCTCTTAACATCAATTTGTTTTTAGAGAGGGGAGGAGGGAGAAAGAGAGGGAGAGAAACATCAAACACTGGTGTGTGAGAATCCACCAGTTGCCTGTCTCAGGCCCCCAACTGGGAACCTGGGCCATAACCCAGGCATGCACCCTGACTGGGAATCAGACCAGCAACCTTTTGGTTTGCAGGCTGGTGCTCAATCCACTGAGCCCCATCAGCCAGGGCTGGGTGCCTCTCTTAACTTGCTCCCTTATCACTCCGCACTTACCTTTGTAGTGTGTGTATTGCATTATGTTATCACGCATGTTTACTCGTTAGCCCTCTGCCTCATTAAATCATGTGTGTCTCAAGTCCTGGGACTGTGTCATCATTGTATCATAGTGCCCAACATAGTAAATTCTCAAATATTTGACTACATGAATGAGGCCAGAAGGCACATGGAGAAACACAAGAGGAGAATAATTTGTGCCTTGCACAAGTGAGCAGTTAGTGAGGACTTGACTGTGCACCTCAGTGTGAGACTGAAAGCCTGAGCTCCATTGTGTAGGAACTCGACACAATTATGATTTTATAAATAACATTCAATAGGCTTATATGCAAGTGTTCGATGCCTTGTAAGTTTAGACATTTTAGAGGAATCTATACTTTAAAAACCAATAGTAGGAGACATTATTTGCTTTACAAAATGATTCACTTCAGTGAACCTTTAAATTTCCTGGATATTTAGTGGTTTAATTAAAGGTTTTTTAAAAAAAATATTTTATTTATTTATTTTTTGAGAGAGGGGAAGGGAGGAGAAAGGGAGAGTGCATTGGGAGCGGTGAGTGAGAGGGTATTTTTGTTTTGATATTTGTGGGGCTCTGTCAGTCATTGTGCTTGTTGGGAGGGATGCAGTTATAAATACATTATGGAATCTTCATTTAAGAAAGCTATTAAGTCCTGCAAATCACAAATTAAGTGGTGACAGATTTAAGTTCTGTGGTAGACGTATCAGCAATGTGTTGAGGGATAGCTAAGAAATATACTATTTTGATTTGGGGGGTGGAGAGGCTTAATGTGGAGTTGGATTCTGAAGAAGACCATGACTTGCATCTCAAGGAAGGCAGGGAGGGAAGAGCAAGTATGTAAAAGGCTGAAAGGTATGCGTGAATTTGCTTTCAATATTTCAAGACCATGTTTCCTTACATGAAATCAGTGTTAATTACCTATGAGATAAAAATTTACATGTAAGGTAGTGTTTTTCTACATGTCGGTAGTGATCCCGACCTGTATGGCTCAGTTGGTTAGAACATAGTCCCATAAACCAAAGTGTTGCAGGTTCAATTCCCAGTCAGGGCACATGCCTGGGTTGTGGGTTCGGCCCCCGATAAAGGGTGTGTGCAAGAAGCAACAGATCCATGTTTCTCTTTCCCACTGATATTTCTCTCTGCCTTTTCTCTTTCTAAAAATAAATAAATAAAATATTTTTTAAAAAAAGAAAGTTGTGACCAGTAGAGAAAACAGCAGACACTGACACTTAATAAGGGATTATATATATATATATATATATATATATATATATATATATATATATATAGTATGCATATTATATTATGTTTATTATATACAGTTAGAGCGTAAGAAATATTCCTTACATTGGTTTGCAGGAAAATAACTTTGAAAACCACTAGTAAAATCAATAGTGAGGGGCTGACACATCACACACTCTCCTGGTCTCTATGTTTGGGATGGGTGGGCTGGAAGGATATTAGTTTAATTATTTCCTCAATAGACTTGTAACTTATGGCAAAGTACATTAGCTTCTGGCTTCCTTTTTACTCCTGAAGCTATATTACCATTTATTTGAAATTTCTCTCCTCCTTGAAGATGATTTCCTTCTAATATATAATTGGCAAAGATTCTTGGGATCTAGAGGTGAGTTATGTTAGGACTGGTCACTCACTCTCAGGGGCTCAGAGTCCATGTGTTAGTTTTCTACAGTTAGTCCACTAGGTGGTACTGTGAGGGGCCAATATCTGCAAGTTTTCTTGTCCCTCAACTTGTTTTGAGATTAGCAGATGGGTCTATCAGTTAGAAAATCTTTTCAGGCTCCCAGGCGTTCCAGGAGAATTACCTAGATATCCCTCCCCTCCCCTTACAAAAGACTAGGTTATTTGTAAGACTATCACCTAGTCTTAAAAATTGAGGAGGACAGAGAATCTGGGATTCAGAAAATACGATTTTTGGTTAGTATAGTCTTCTCTCAAAAGAGATTGGGAATGCTTTTTGTTCTTCCTTGGAGTTCAAAGATGTTGAACTACAGTGGAAATGATGGTCATACTCCAAAATGAATAACTGAGTGAGCGGCGATTATGGAATTGGCTGAGACGAGGAGAGAGGGAATGTTAAAGGGTCTCTTCTTTGGGAAAGCAACAAGTCACGGAATCTCGTTTAATTCGGCAAACACTTTTCAAGAGCCTTCTGTAGGACACGGGAATACAAAGTTGAGTACATTTTGGTACCTCCTTTCTAGAATCTCAAGAGAAATAAAGAGGCAAACACTCAATAATACAGTATGACAAACAACTCTCCTGGGGCAGACACAGGGTGCTGTAGCAGCAGAGAAGGGATCCGGATGTCAGCTGAGGGGTGGAAGGGGAGAGGTGGTGATCAGGGAAGGCTTTCCAGAGGAGCTGACCCCTGGGCTGAGGCTGAGCCTGGAGGAATGGATAGGAGCCCTCCAACATCCTAGAAATCTACAAGGTTCTGCTGTCCTTGTCTCCCCTAGTGACTTCACTTACTCCTGTGATTTCAATAATTACCTCTGTGCTAATAACTTCCAATCTTCCTCTAGCCCAGTCATCTCTAAAACCTGCCCATCCTGTCTGGGTGTTAGGGCTTCAAATTCAATTAGTCTAAAACCAGACACTGAAAGAGGCCAGGCTAATGATTTCTATGGTAATCACATATTTTTATCCATATTTATTATCCAGGTGGGTATCTTAGTCACTTTTTGTCTGAACTTCGGTAAACGCACATCAACTGGTCTCCAACTTAAATCTCTTCCCACCACTTACTTTCCCCATCTATCCTACACATTTTGACCTTCAACAAGATTTATCTCCCTTAAGCCCAATGTTGATGGTGTCATTTCATTGAACAACAAATTTAGTGGTTCCCTTTGATCTACAATGAAGACGAAGCTCCTTAGTGCTTTTATAAGAGACCCCACAGAGCTCTCTAGCTCCTTCCATTCTGTGAGGATACAAGATATCTGCAACCTGGAAGAGAACCCTCACCTGGTCATGTTGGCACCCTAACCTCAGACTTCCAGTCTCCAGAATTGTGAGCAACACATTTCCGTTGTTTGTCAGATAGCCAGTCTGTGGCCTTTTGTTATCGTAGCCCACATGGACTAGGACAGCACTCAGTATTTTATTCCTAAGTTACTCTTTCTACCTTATATACCCCATTATTCCTTTAAGTGTCTTTTATAGCCAAACTCACCTAATCAAAATTTATTTCCTAAATATTAATTATGCTTTTCTACCTCAGTATCTAAGTTTACACCGTTCTCATCTTCCCTGTCAAAATGTTATTTATTTTAGTAAGGGGACATTTTTCTAAATATATGGTAACTTAAAGGTAAAAAAACATGATAAGTGTTTTATATTTTAATATATAAAGAGCTCTTGCAAATCAACAAGGAAAAACAACCTCTCCAAAAGAAAAGTCAAAGTACATATTGATACGATTCCAATTGATATGATTGGTTCAAGTGTCTACCACCATGCTATTTGTTTTCTACTTGTCATGTCTATTTTTATTCTCTTTTCCTATTGACCTTAGATTGAATTTTTTAGTATTTTACTCGATCTCTTCTTATTAATTCTTTTTATTTTTTTTTCAGTGGTCACTCTAAAGTTCACTATACATGCATTTAACCTACCATAGTCTACTTTCAAGTAATATATGACTTCACTGTAATGTAAAAATTTTACAAAAGCATACTCCCATTTTCCCTTGGTTCCCTCTCACACATACTCTACTAGGGACTGATACAACAACCTAGGCACATGCCCTGACCTGGAACTGAACTGTTGATCTTTTGAAAGGCATAATATGGGGAGGGCATGGGGGGGTGCGTGGGCTGGGATGGGAGTAAAAGGCAGAAAACTGTACTTGAACAACAATTAAGAGAAAAAATAAATAAAATACCACTAGATTTTAAAGATTTAGTAAAAAAAGAAAAGAAAAGTGTAATAAACATGTTTTTTTTTTTTTAGATTTTTTATTTATTTATCTTTTAGCGGGGAAAGGAA